GGTGGGGAGTTTAGGGTATATAGTGCCTCCATAATTCTATAAGGCTTCTATAATGGTAACTACCCGCCTGAAAATGTCCTAGATCTGATAGGGGGCCTCTACAACGTGCTACTTGGCCTACAGAGGCCATGTAAATTGGAAAGTCTCCTCGAAAAAAGGAGCTAGAGAAGATTATGCCAATCGAACCATGCAAGCTACTATTGTGGCGAAGGCATCAAGCACGTGCTTGTAATTGCGACGCTGCGCTTCAGGCAGCAGGTTGTCAGCCTGCATGCGCACGAGCGATAAATCCGCAGGATTCCCAATGACAGCGGCAATTCCACCTGCACTCAGAGCACAGAGCGAGGTCTTCCAAAAGGGCAGAGTCGCCTCTCCTGGGCTGCTCGCCATGGCCGTGAACTGATCATAGAGGCCCAGGCGCGAGCCCGTGTAGAGCACCTGCCTTGCGTACATGGCTGTGATACCTTGGAAGAAGCCTGCCGGGCCATCTTGCCTCAGCAAAGTCTGCGCTACGTGGGCCACGCTCGTGTTGCCACCTTCTGCAGCGGCGAGTTGGATGCGCACCTTTACGATGTCAATGGGCTGGACGATAGTGCCCGCTATGGACCCGGACAAGCTGCCAGTCACAAAGGGTTTGCACGACTCCCACACCCCCATGGCAGATCAGTTTCATCTACTCCACGACAGCTTGATCCGAGCTGACAACGCATGTACTCTTATAAGAGTCTGTGAAACCAGTAACTCGTGGCAGCTAGTGACTCTCCACGTACCTGCAAATAACATGATCACGCCGGAGAAATGAAGGCAAAATGCAACAAGGCCCGGGGCATGCTCATCTCCCAGGGATACTTGGACATAAACACCAATGATTGAAACTCCAAGTGAGCATTCGCTGGGCAACGTATTGCAAACTGCGGGCCCCTGGGTTTGATACGGAGGGTATGTCAACGTGTTTAATCATTCTGCAACAGTTGTCATCTGCCTTCAACTTCTGTGGCAGAGTGTCTAGATTCTTAGATGCAGAAAGACCACCAACTCTCTGTTGATGTAAAGTTCAAGATAGCCGATGCAGATGACATGACTTCCAGCTGAAAGAATCTTGTACAGCAAACACCAGATCGAGTGTGACTCCACTGATGTCGAAAAGATTGCCCTCTACACATTTCGCCTCCACTCCCTGGAAACTCCAAGAATGTGCATACAGCAGGAGGAACGCTTGATACCCTTCCATGTTAAGATTGCAATGCATCAAGGGAAGAAAAACCAGGTCATTCGATTTTGCTTAGGTTCCCAAAGGAAACCCAATTTCTCGAGCTTCATTTCCTGCTTTCCCCCATATTAGAGCACGATAAACACATGCATCTTTGCTGTTCCGAAAGAGTGAATCTATATGATTGTTGGAGAGACCGCAACAACATGTCCAAACGCATCGATTGACTTTCCCTTTAAACACACACGGAGTGTCAAACGATTGTTTGCAAGATACAACCTATGGGATTCGCAAGATCGCCAAAACTTACAATTACAATTGCCGAAGTCAACAAGTGTGCGCAACACCTACAAATTGCATGTTTGTCTGAGGAGGTCCATTTCAATTCATGCTTTCCCGGGCCGGGTTCAAACCAGCTTTGAGCTTCCATGTCAGCGGGCACGACAAACAGAATAAAAGAGCTAGATACATCTGGGTTCAGGGCTTAGTCGTGGGGTTTAGGGCCTAGGGGATCATGGGACTCATTAAGCAAGCTCTTGTTTGTCCCAGATCCTTTGCAGGTGGGATGGCGCGCGTCGATCAGATGTCCCACCCAATCGTGGAACATAGCATCGACTCCTTCGGTGGTCCTCAGCTCGGGAGGAGCGTCTTGGCAGCTGATGGTTCATCGTACTCGCATATTCACCCTACTATACTACTATACCCGCTTGAACGATCATATAGTGGATACCTAACTCCCGAATTCTAAAAATACTACGAGCGAGTAAGATCAGGTAAGTCGGAACTGTGATTGGAGGCTTCAATCGGCTTGCTGGCACCGGCCATCACAGACTTCGTCAGATCCGCTTCAGAATATGTCGCTGCCAGAACTTGTCACGCCATTTTCTATCCAGTTTTGCTGTCTTTTGCTGTGAAGACTGAAGAAATGCAAAGCACCCTAAGCCCTAAACTCCAAACCATAAGTCATGAAGCCAAGTAGATGCGAGGTAGACGCAACTTCGCAGGCAGGAGCTGAGCCGAGACCTACTACAGCAACCCATTCTCAAAATGCTTACCATAGGGGCCTTCACAATTAGAATGGGGTCTTCGGGTATAGAATGCTATAGTTCTAACAATATAGGGGACTTAATAATTAGAATGGTGGTCTTGGGGTATATTATACCGCATTTGCCTCGAACAATAATCACAAAAAGCGTTCAATGATTCATGAAACTATGCATGCAACACACACCAACAGAAAATGGCCAAATCAGTCAATGGCACTACCACAAGCTGTATGAGTCATTTCAAAAACGACACAACCAACGTTGCCTGCGGCCGCCTGCTCTTCGTGGATTGCAGGTACATTGTTCTTGGGAGCTCAATGCAGCCGCATCCCCCCTAAATGGCGTCTATGCGCATTACTATTGTGGTGACCCCATTTGGCTGCTTACATCATGTAGAACACATGCTGCCTCCTCTATATGCAACCAGCCTTCTTTTCACCTTCTTTTGGTCCACCCTCCTCTGCCACATCTGGTCTGGCGATCTTTCGCGCTGTACAGAATGGAAAACTGATGGAAGCCCTCCAGGCCTCATAGCTGGAGCAAGAGGCGCAGCCTCGTATTAAAGCTTGTGAAATGGCAGTGCTGTGTGATGTTCTACGAGGGGTAGCTTGCCACTTCATAGTCATGGGTTGCGTGGAACTCGATCCACCTTGGTACCTTTGCCTTCCTCTGACCTATCATACCATACAACATCTCCAGGCACAGTCTTTTTGATGATGGTGCCCGCTTGGTTGTCAAAGATGGCATGAGCATCATTCAAATCTCCGATCGCGGCAAACGCATCGGGGTTTGGAGAATTCTTCACGAATTCAATGGCAGCTGCGACTTTTGGGCCCATTGAACCAGGAAACTTTGAACCTGCCTTGGTGCCTTCTAAGTAGGAGATGGAGGCTTCCTTCATCTCCTTGGCATCGGGCTTTCCGAAATTTCTCCAAATCCCGCCGCCATCCGTTAGGATCAGGAAGGCGTCTGCGTCCAGCTGCTGCGCAAGCAGGGCACCACATCGATCCTTGTCAATGACCGCTTCCATTCCCTCAAGAGCATGAGAGGGGATGTTGGCATATGCAGTGCCCATCCGCACGACAGGGACACCACCGCCACCGCAAGCGATGGGCAACGGCCCTTGAGGTGTTTGTGCTGCGAGAAGTAGCTTGATTGCCTCGATCTGCATGATCTCCAGTGGTACTGGTGATGACACGACACGGCGGAAGTATTCGCCATCAGGCTTCATGGTCCATCCCAGGCTCTGGTGGAGGGCGTCAGCCTCCTTTGCTCCGTAGACAGGACCTACGAACTTCGTTGGATTTTGGAAGGCCGCGTCGGTGGGATCCACAACCACTTGAGTCACAAGGCAAGCTGACGATACGCCTACACCTGCCATGGCCTGTGAGAAGATATAGCCGATCTGGCCCTGGGATTCTGCACCGAGCACGTCAAAGGTAGCTGCTGATCTTTCGAGTGCCAGCTCTCCCACCTGCGGCCCATTCCTTACTTTGGATCCAAACTTTGGATAAGGGAGGACAAACTAAACGAGACGAGGAAGCCGCTGTGCAACTGAATACGTGCCGAGAGAGGGTAGCGACCAACGGTGGAAGTAGTGCGTAGACTTGGCTGCTTGGATTGTTTGAGCCCCGCGTGGCGCTTAGCGATATCAGGCCCTTAATCAGTGCTGCAAGGAACACAAGAGCAACATTCGGATCACTCGTGCTGCAGCACGTCTGCTGTCTGGAACAACTAACATTATGTAACTAGTGGCGTGTTAGGAAGCTGAGGAGAAAAGAGCAAGTATTTAGGCAGTTGTATAAAGAGCAAGGTTAGAGCAGTTGAGTGCAACAGAACGGCGAAGTGGCATTGAAGCAAACTGCCACAAAGAAACTCAGCGTTGCAGAATTCGGCAAATCTGGCCCAAAACTTTGCACGGCCTCCCTCGGAATAAGAGAAACCAAAGTCATATATCATTAGTCAGGCTGCCTCACAAATGATGCATCTCAAGAACTATAGAAACTGGTGCAAAAAGGGAGGTGAGGGCAGGAGCCCAAAATATACAGACACTTCCCAACAATCTGATTGAGCGAGCTCCTGAATTGCATAATAGTCAGAAGATGGTACAAGTACAAATGTATCTTGCGTGAACAGGGGGAGGACTCAGCCCCATCAAAGGCCCCACCACACGCCCACACAAGCGGGCGAGACCCCAGGCCCATGCCCAACCCAGACCACGCAAACAGTCAAACCAACAAGGACGAATTTCGACCGGGGAGGATCAGACACCTAGTAATCAGAGGCTGGGAGTATTCGCTTGTGTGGCTGACCAACTCTCAGGTCAGACAGCAATCAAGGAGGCATGTTACATCAAAGACGGCACACCGCATGTAGCGCCAGCGCAGCACCGGCTGACGCCACCAAGGCAAACTGACTGTGGGGGTCTGCAGCCACTGGGAGGTGGTCAAGCGAAAACTCAATGATGATTTCCTCTTAATCCATATGTTTCGAATTGTGAGTTATCAAATTGTCAATTCCATGCGTGTTCTATGGGCATGTCAATTGACTGAAGCTCCAAGTAGAAAGGAGGATACAGAAATGGAGGTGCCAGCTGAGGAGAGCTTGTGGGAGATGGAAGGATCCAGCGAGGAGGCAGAAGGAAGGGGGGTGATGCTTTGAACAATCTCAAACCAAAAAAGGATGAACAATGCTGGATCGGTCATGAAAAAAGCTCAAGCCGAGCTTGGCAACTACAAGTCTTAATTACCCATATCACAAACCAAAGGCTGAACTTGCTTTACTCAAACGCAGAGATTCCCATGTGTGAGGACAACCGAATGATCTGCCATCAGCTTCTTCAACATAGGCGCTGCATCATTGCGAGCAGCTTTCAATTGGTTCTCAATCGTCAACCGCTCACCTCTTCGAATGAGTGCATTGCCACCAACAGCCACGACCACCTTCAGCCGCTGCTTCTCGCCGCTAGGACCAACTTGCTCGGCGATGATCCGCGCCTCGCTGGCACAGCTCCTCACGCCGAGTGCTCTTCTGAGTCCAAGGAAACCAAGGCGGGCCATTGTGGGCAAGCAGGTCACTGGTGCCAGGCAGTCTATCGAGCTTGCGAATTTCCTGATGCGGTGCACATGTTCCTTTACTGTACATGTTCTTGGGAGAAAGGCTGGAGCCAGCACGAGAAGCCTAGAGGCCTTTGTGAGCCGCAATCCACCTTTCACATGTCCAATAGAACAAGCAGTCAGACATGACAGTGAAACACCCAACATGAACAGATAACATGGGGCCTCGTTCATCTTACAGAACCAGAAAAAAAAGGAGAATGGTTCCAAGTTAGTCCAAGAAGAAATCTGCACGGTAAACATCTACGGAGAACTCACATGTTGAACATCTTGTTTGTCTATCTG